CCCCCCGTGAGAATAACTCCCCTTCATGGGTGACACAGGTCTGGTGAACTAAGTATTAAAACCAGCAGGGGAATGTATGTACCTGCTCGAGTGTGAGTCTGGACTAGCCTGCCTGGGTGCACAGAAGGGAGCTCAGGGAGTTGGGGCAAGGGTGGGAGGCAGCGGGGCTGGCGCAGTATGGGGAGTGGGGGGCTGGGGGGAGGCAGCAGGGGCCAAGAAGCCAAAATACATGTTTGCCTAGGGCACCATTTTCCCTAAGGACAACCCTGGCAGGGCTGGCCTTAAGTGTGGGCGAGGTGGGCGACCGCCCAGGTGCTGTGGTCACAAGGGTGTTGCTGGAGGGGTCTTGGCAGTCACCAGGAAGCCGACCGGGGCAGTGGTGGTGGCGGTGGGGAGCCCGTCATTGCGCCCCCCCCGTCCCCACTATCTGCAGTTCCCAGTCGCCCGGTCTGGGATGATGAGCCGCGGCTACAGAACGTTCGGATGTGGGAAGCCCCCTCCCTGGACCTGTGTGCGGAGCTCGCCCCAGCCCTGCGGCGCAAGGACACCCAAATGAGAGCAGCCTCTCGCGGAGAAGCGCCCGGCTATCGCTGTGTGGACGCTGGTGACTCCAGGCTGCTCCCGGCCAGTCGTGAATCCGCTGGAAGTGGGGAAGTCGATGGCGGGTGCCGCGTTAACACTAGCGCGCGGAGTCGTTAATCACATCTCGCTACGAAGGACCATGACCCTTGGCAATGTGCGTGAAATAGCGGAGGGGCTTTGCGCAGTGGGATTCCCTAACTGCAGCAGGGCGATAGAGGCAACGCAGGTTCCAGTTTTTGCCCCGGACCATCTTGCGACGGACACATCAGTAGGAAGGAGACTTCTCCAGGGTGTTGCAGGAACTTGGGGATCACCGTGGGCATTTCACTGACCCCAGCGCGGGATGCTCCGGGAAGGGGCATGATGCTCATATCGTCAGGAACACCAGCCTGGACAGAGAGCTGCAAGCAGGGACTTTCTTTCCGCACCAGAAGATTCCAGTGGGGGATGTTGAAATGTCCAGAGTGATCCTGGGACACCCGGCGTAGCCCCTGCTCCTGGGGTTCATGAAGCCTGACCCGGGAACCCTGGAGAGCACCAAGGAGCCCTTCAAACCCAGGCTGAGCAGGTGCAGAACGACCGCGGGGGGAACCAATCCAACCCAGCCTGGAACAGCGCCAGCCGGGCCGGGTACCGGGAGGGGGACTCACCATAGAACCAGCCCTGGAAACAGGCTCATGGTGCCCAAGGAGCCACCCTGGGAGCTGGGGCTGGTTGGGTGGGACGGGGGCAGTGACTCCTGGTGCATGGGCCCAGACGCCGGGGGGGGGCAACCCCCACCCTTCCCTCACCACCTGACCCCCAGCTCCTCTGATATCTCCTGCCTTGCAGGTCGCTGCCTGGAAGCTGCTGGGGGCATC